AAGAAGCAGCTCTTCACCCTCACATATCAACCAACAGGAATATACATTTTTGGAGCCTTCCTAGAAAGCACTCTGGCCATATCTGTCAAGGATTAAAAAAAAAAAAGTGCTTATAATTTTCCCAGCAATTTTATTCCTAGAATTCAATTTTAAGAAAGTAACGGAAAAAAAACACACACCACTTATACATAGAGATACTGATCATAATAGTCTGTTCAATAGCAAAGAAAAAATAAAATGTCATAAATGTAATGATAAATATAGAGATAATATAATGAGTTGGGAAAGTAGCAGAAGAGGGAGGATGGGCTCGCTAAGTTCATTTTCAGATGCTGCAGGAGCCCTGAGGCTTTTTAAGCCTTTGGCTCCCATGGGAGCAGCAAGGAGTCAGGCAGGGGTCATGTCTGCCTAAGAGCTAAAGGGTTTTTAGGTATTTAAAACTGGAGAAAACAAACTACATAAAAGTTGAGTGTAAATTACAAAGGCATTTTTCTGCTTAAGCTTTCCAAAGTACTGGAAGTTTAATTAAGGAGCGTTGAGTACTAGGCATGTTAGGTTAAGAGTATGGGCCTCAAATCACATACAGTGTCCTCAGAAGCTGTGTTACTTGGGACAAATTATTTAATTTCTTTAAACTTCAATCTGCATATGAAAACATGGGATAATTACATTTACCTTTTACAGTTACTGTGGGATTCAAGAACATAATTCATATAAAGTGACTAATATATAGCATGAAGGGTGGTCATATATTAGTTTATTGGTTATTTAGTGAGAAAGATAGTTAATTATAAAGAGATTCTAATTTTAAGATTACTCTAAAGAAATATATGTGTTTTTATTTATTTCAGAGAGAGGAAGGGAGAGGGAGAGAGAGAGAGAGAAACATCAACAATGAGAGAGTCATTGATCGGCTGCCCCCTGCATGCCCCCTACTGGGGATTAAGCCTGCACCTGGGCATGTGCTCTGACCGGGAATCGAATCTTGACCTCCTGGTTCATGGTCGATGCTCAACCGCTGAGCAACACCAGCTGGGCAAGATAGATACTTTTAACATTACCTGATTTTTCAGAGAATTAGATTGTTTTGGGGGGAAAATCTTAGTTCATTGAAAAGCATCTGATATTTTATAACTATATACATTGAATCATGCTAAGTGAGAAATGATATGTAAGCCACTCCAAATAAGTTTTTTAAATTGGAGTACATGGTACCTAAGAAGAAATAATACTTCTGGATTCTTAACCTTATAAATTTAGTCCATAAAGTTACAGTAGAAGTCTCAGAACCCCATAAAAATCTTTGCAGGAAAATTTGCACCAGCCCTCCCGTGTCCTGGGTAGATGCATGGGCACAGAATGACGTAACCAAGAATGAATAAACCCATAGCACGTTTGGGCCGCTGTCACCAGACTTAACTCCTTGTTTTAATGAAGACAAGTCTCTCTCTGAATACAGTACACCAAATAACAATTGATATGTTATCATTTTTTTCAAAGGATCTGTTTTCTTTCCCATTAACGAGCATCAGAGGAGACAGCATAGAAAAACCTGATAGGTTTTCTGCATGTTCAGTGTAAAAACTCATTAACCTATGTGAGTTAAATTATTGGCAAACAGTAAATTAAGTGATGGAGAATGGCAGTCTAATGGCTTTTGCATTGGTCTTTTAAAATTAGGCTGATTATGGACACTCATTGCCTTGTAATCGTTTATTTTAGTTGTCATTAATAGTTTTGGCAAATAGCTTTGTCATTAAATGTCAAAAATAGTTTTGTAGCCTGGCCTGTGTTGCTCAGTGGTTGAGTGTCGACCTATGAACCAGGAGGTCATGGTTAGATTCCCAGTCAGGGCACGTGCCCTGGTTTCAGGCTCGATCCCCCCAGCAGGGGCTTGCAGGAGGCAGCCGATCAATGACTCTCTCATCATTGATGTTTCTCTCTCTCCCTCTCCCTCTCCCTTCCTCTCTCTGAAATTAATTTTTAAAAAATTTAAGTTTTGTAAGCATCTACATGAAGTTCCTCGGAGAATATTGGCAATATTTTGTTTAGTAAGCTCTGACGTGACGTGATCTGTCTGTAACGTCTGATGTTTCTAGAGATTCTTTCGTAGTGCAGGGTGAGCATTTGCTCTGAGTCCATCGCTGTGCCCAGCACTTTCTGTAGATTATCTTTGGAATCTCAGCAGCAATTTTAGTTTGCTTAACAGATGAGGAAAGAGAGGTTCAGAGAGATTTTTAAAGGTCAGAACCTGTTCACTCACATGAAATTGCTCGCACACATACAGGGTTTAGTTGTTATAACCACAAAAACTAATTGTGGACTTGGAACAGGGATCACTTGGTAAACTACAACCCCGGGGCCACATCTGGCTGCTGTCGGGCATTGTACAGTTGACAAAGCGAAGACTGGTTTTTACATTATCGAATGGTTGGGGGAAAATACCAAAAGAAATTATTTCCTAACACACGAAAATTATGTGAAATTCAAATATGTTTTATGGGAATACAGCCATTCCCATTCATTTATTTATTGTCTGTGGATGATTCCAAGGCCAAGTTGGGTAGTTGAGAGAGAAGCCATATGGCCTGCAAAGCCTAAAAGAGTTACTGTTTGGCTCTTCACAGGAAAAACTTCGCTGATCCCTGATCTGTGTATCTCAGGACCATGTAAGGGATGCTGTTCATTATTGAATGCTTCCTCCTTGCCACGTCCTGTGGGCTCTTGATAGTTTAGCAGTTTAGTTTTATATTTCTTCGCTTTTAGATCTTAATATGTCATAAGACCCAGAAAACAGTGAAAACATCTTCAGTTGGCCAAAGGCCTGTTGTTGCACTTTGGCTAATATTCTGTTTCATAGGCCTCCTTTCTAGGTTTTGAAAGCTCTCCTGCCAGCCTGTTAGAGCTGTTTCTACTTCTAGTGGAGTCCTTTTCAGTCTTGATAACATTGGAATCATTTAAACTCATGAAAATTCCAGGAAGCTACGATGGCTGATCAACACCCCAATTAGAGTTCTAGAGGTTCCTGGCTCATGTTCTGAATTGTTTGGTGCTGGTAACCTGTCCCCGTGTCCTGATTAAGCTTTCCTGTGTGTCCACCTTAAATTGCTGACATAAAGATGTTACAGAAGTCTTGCCCATATGTTTCAGGTGGTTTTATTTATAATATCATTCCTGTGGAACCAGCTCTAAGGACGTTATAATGACTTTTTTATTAGATATCTAGGAATTTGTTTCCACTTCATGGGAGCAGAAAAAAAGTAGGATTTCTAGATATCTTATTAATGCTGCTTAATATCTCATCCAGTGGTTAGCAAGTCTATTATAATCTCTCATTTTTATTTCCCTAATCTCCAAATTGTTATAGTGGGACTAGATAGGTTATTTCTTGGGTCCCCTTTATAAGTTTTCCTGTGGATCCTGTTGATTCTGTGACGATAACTTTAAGGTAGACACGCTCTATTAATCATCTCTTGTTTGGCTTCTTCTATTTGTCTTTTTAATTTTGTTTCCTTTTACTAGTGTGATGTTTTTATTGTCAGCACTTAAAAGAAGAAATTTCCCATTGTCACATATGCTATATTTAGCATTAAGATACCACACTCTCCTACCCCTTCGCTTTGAGAATATTATTTAAACATTTACTGAGCACTTACTATATAGCCGACCAGTGCCAGGCATTGGGAACAGTAATGAATGAAACATAAGTCCTGTCCTCAGGGAACTTGCAGAGAAGTATTTTTGCTCTGGTGACAGTCTAGTGTCCTCAGTCCTGACCATATTCCTGTGCTCTCTGGCATAGTCTCATGTCTTCCTTTCCAGGAGTGTTACCCCAGACAAGTCCACTTTTTATGCCCTTGTTTGGAGATTACAGTAAATTTCAGTGTTCTTTTACAGTCAGGAAAGTACACGTCAATGATCTTGTAAAGATGACCTACCCATCTTTTAGAGCATAATATGTTTCTCGATGAGAAATTAATGTTTTCATTGGTCGCCACATCGTAGGGCAGTCGTAAATGAAAAAAGCATAGGCCGAGCTTGACACAGTTACAGAGACCTTGAAGTTAAAGAAGAACCTCTAAATCTACTGAGAATGGCTCTTGGAATAATTTAAGAGGCAGTCTGGGTGTTTCATATCCTTGAAAACTCTCTGAATGGCAACTTTATGTAGTAGATTATATTTAACTTTCCCTTACTCAGCTGTTTGTCAGAGGCCACAAATTGTTTTATTCCTGAATCGAGGAGCCGAAAGTCCCATCTCCCTCTGGTTTTACATACCTGTCCACCTGTAAGACATTGGCAGAAAAGGTGTCATTTCAAAAGTATTGTGTCTTCAGTCATCTGCATTCACTGGTGCCAACAAGTGAGCCTTTTGTGGCTTCGTATTTATATATAGTTTTCAGTGTGTTTCATGAGGTAAGGTATCTGTTGTACAAGAGGCAGAGAACTTATAAATTCTCTTCCTGTGTCCAGGAGATAATCCAAGAGATGTATTCACACAGGCAGAGTCGTTCATGCTGCATTTAACCTGGGAAAATAGGTGCTGCAAAGGAGTTTTATAGGACATCTCACTTGATTTTACTTAAAATGTAACTTTATCATTAGTTTAGTGTTAATACTACTTTTTCCATTCATGTAAGTAAACGTAGGAGGTTTAATTTAAGGTAATTTCACTGTGAATATATTTTATAATCCTTGGGCCAGAGTTCTCATATTAATCTTGAATGTCATCGCAGCAGTGAATTTTAAAGACCATTGATGTAATCTAATCTGTGTTTAACAGTTGTCGCAATCAGACCATTATAGTGCTGTTCTGACACCATTCCTGAGATGTCCTGTTTTGTGAAATACAGAAGATGCGGCAGTGATTTTAATGATTGGATGTAATACAGACATAATAGGATGTCTGTCAATGCCTCGTCTTTACCGTTATATCTTGATAGTGTTCATAAGGCTGTCATCACTACTAGCCTTACCTTTTCTCTTCTGTTCACACACAGGGATGTGAGCTCATTTCCACTCCTGATCAAGACCACACTGACTTCACCAAGTGCCTTGAGGTGCTCCAGAAGAAGATAGAAGCCAAAGGCCTACAGGTATGCCAGGCACCTACTTGGCGGTTAAAGTCCTGTTACCAAGGATGTGAAAGATCCTGTTGAAAATTTTACTCATCTAAAACCTTATTTACTTTTGTGCAGGTTTTTTGATTCTCTGTCAGGTTTTTTCAGTATAATGAATAAATAATAAATCTGTACACTTACATCATAGGTTACAGATTCAAGCACCTCGCAGGGGTGAGGTCACAGTACAGGTGAAAGGATCTTGTATAAAGTAATCAAAACTAGCTGCTCATTTTCAGCCTAAAGTGAGAAGCTACTTTTTACCTCTAGCTGCCTGTTGCCAGGTGGAGCTATGTTTCCTTTGTATATGTGTGTTTAAATATTTGTTGGAAAACAAACAAGTGTAACCTAGATTTGGCCAACAAGTCAATCTCTCATATAAACAAATTGAACAGCAACTTTTTTTAACATCAGAGAAGAGTCCGCTGCTTTTCACTTGTGGACATTGAAGGTATTCAGTAATGACTTTCACCGAGCAGCCAAGTGTTAATCCCATTAATTAGCTAACACACAGATTTATACTTTGTTAGGTTTCACAATTTTTTGGTACTTGTTGAAATGGTATGCAAAATTTTAAAGTCTGTGTTTAGTGAGGATCAACAAAATTAAGCGTGAAGCATTGAATGCCAATTGACTGTTGTTTTCCTGGCGGGGACAAGAAGGTAAGCTGAGATGCATGACCAAATCTGTAATTTCAAACTGAGAAACCTAGGAAAACATCCTTGGACATTAGAACACTTTTTTTAAAGAAATAACTTTTTTTTTTAATAGTTTATTGATTTTTAGAGAGAGGAAGGGGGAGGAAAGGAGGGAAAAACACCTATGTGAGAGTGAAACATTGATCAGCTGCCTCCTGCAGGCCCCCTACTGGGGACTGAGCCCATAACCGATGTCAAACTGGCAGCCTCCTGGTGCATTAGATGACGCCCAACCAGCTGAGCCACACCGGCCAGGGCAGAACACGTTTATAGTAGGAGTAACAGGAGATGCATTTCACCTTGGCCTCATAGCTCACCTCTGCTTCTTTGACGGCCTTGGCTCTGCTGTGCAGGTTTTGTCTTCAGTCTGGTTTCCCTGATCATCTCCAACAGCCACTGGTAGCAGCATTTTACCCCTTTACATCTGGGGATTAAGAGGGCAGGACATCCATTAGGCCACTGTTGGCTTTAGCGAAGGAGGGTGAGTGTGCTGCTTGGCTCAGGCTGGAGCAGGGAGTGGGATCCATCCACAGCCCACATAGTCAGACTTCATGGCTGGTACACATGGGGCAGGATGGGGTAGGTGTTGGAGAGGCAGCCCTGATGGAAACTTACTCCCTTGCAAAAGTTCATCTAGCATATGTTTGCTAAGTTGAGGCAGTGGCTCCTCTTCTCCCTTTGAAGAAAAGCCTTGTTAACTGTCATAAATGGCAAGTAGTTCATTGTGCAAACTCAACAAAAGTAATTGAGCCAACATTCCCATGTCTGTTGCAGCTTGAACTATACCAAATGTATGTGCTATTTCCAGCAATAAACTGCTGTAATTAAATATTTGTTGAATGAAAACAGAACGCAGTCCACTGAGAGTTATCTGCTTCATCCAGACATAGCTGATCTTTTGAGTTTCTTAGGAAAAAAATTGTAAATCTTCAAAACTGTTTCAGTTTCCCCAGAGCGTCCACTGAAGTTGTTGAAAGCTGGGGATGCAATTACTTGAGCCTCATTTGTTGTGTCTAATTGATAGTATCCATAATACAGTGCTCAGTCACTGAATCTCAAAAGCACATCTCACACCGAACAGACCAAACTCCAGAGAGAGCCTCAAACCAGGAAGACAATCATCAGGCGTACATGATCTGCCAAAAAATCTGACAAAGTCTGGGCTGGGCCGGTGGGGGGACTGAAGCAAGAGGACCTGTTCAAGGACTCCTGCAATGCAGAGAAGGGCCAGCCTCTCCGTGCTTAGCCATGGGCCGGAGGCTGCCCTGGAGGAGCCTGGCCTTGGTGGCATGCTCTGCTGCATCCTGAAGGGTCACCACAGCCAAGTGTCCTGCTCTCAGCCCAGCAGGAGTTCTTTCTGGGGGAAATGAGCCTGAGCCGTGCACTTCTGCCTGCCTAGGCCTCTGGCATGCTCTGGGCCAACGTGCTCTCAGGCCTCATTTGTGCAACACTTTCTCTTTGTTGCTAAAATATTCCGTATTCTCTCTTCTCCTCTGCCTTAATGTGTTTTTGCATGTGTTGCCCCCCTGCTTAGGATTTTTAAATATTTTTTGTGCTTTTCCTTGTCTTTGCCTAGACCACTTAAGGATACCTTTTCTTCCCCATCCCCCTAGGATAGATTCCACTACACTACAGTTCTGTGCTCCCCATTTTTCCCTGTAAGGCACTCTGGACACTTCTAATGATGTTGTTAATTATTTCTCATTGTTTCTTGAAGCCTTTCTTTCCAGCCAGATGGTACTGACCTTGAAGCTGCGGTCTGGTCTGTCTGGTTCATGACTGAACTGCAGCGCTCAGCATATGAGAGGAGCTCTGGACATGCCGGGTCCGTGCTGGCACTATGGGAACACGCAGGAGAGGAGAACAGGACACATGGGAAAGGTTTTTGAGAGAAGCTGAGACCTGTTGAAGGAATAGCAGTCAGATGGCCACAGGGAGAGGCGTGTTCAGGGAGCACCACATGCACAGAGGATGGGTAGTGCTGAGGCGAGCCAGCGGCGGGTGTCTGCAGGGTTTTAAGGTGGAGAAGGAACTTGCGATTACTTTGTTGCTTTAAAAAGTGTAGTTAGATAAACTGAAGTCTCCATTATGCACAGTGAACACCTTCCCAGGTAGCTCTCACTCAGACTGAAAAAGGCTGTTATATTAAATCTCACCACATAGAGGGTCTGGAGCTTCCGCCTGACCTAACATTTAACCTGGAAGTACAGTGCATGAGAGTTCTTTTTTCTCCACATCCTCACCAACACTTGTTGTTTTTGTGATTTATTGATAATAGGCATTCTGACAGTATGTGTGATATCTCATTATTGTTTTAATTTGCACTCTCCTAATGATTAGTGATGTTGAGATCTTTTCACATGTCTGGTGACTGTCTATGTCCTCTTTGGAGAAATGTCTATTCTGCCCATTTTTCAATCAGATTGTTTTTTTGGTGTTATATGTTGTATGAGTTTCTTATATATTTTGGAAATTAACCTTGTTGAACGTGTCTTTGGCAAATATCTTCTCCCATTCATTAGGTTGTCTTTTCATTTTGTTGATGATTGCCTTCACTATGCAAAAAGTTTTTAGTTTGATATAGTTCCATTTGTCTGTTTTTCCTTGTTTCCCTTGCCCAAGGAGACATATACAAAAAAAAAAATATTGCTAATAACAATGTCAGACAGTTTACTGCCTATATTTTCTCCTAGGATTTTTTTGATTTCAGGTCTTACATTTTAAGTATTTAATCTGCTTTTAATTTATTTTTGTATGTGGCATAAGGAAGTGGTGTAGTTTAATTTTTTTGCATGCATCTGTCCAGTTTTTCCAGCACCATTTATTGAAAGACTGCCTTTACCACATTGTATGTTCTTGCCTCCTTTAACATAGATTAGTTGACCATATAGGTGTGGGTTTATTTCTGGTCTCTCCATTCTGTTCTATTGATCTATGTGCCTGTTTTTGTACCATGTTTTTTTGATTGCTATAGCCTTGTAGTGTACTTTGATATCAGCATGATACCTCCAACTTTGTTCTTCTTTGTCAAGATTGGTTTGGCTATTTGTGGTCTCTCGTGGTTCTATACAAATTTTTGGACTAGTCCTAGTGCTATGAAAAATGCCACTGGTATTTTGATAGGGATTGCATTGAATCTGTAGATTGCTTTAAGTAGGATGGACATTTTTTTAATGATGTTAATTCTTCCCATCTATGGGCACGGTGTATCTTTTCACATATATGTGTCTTCTTCAGTTTGTTTATTCAGTGTCTTACAGTTTTCTGAGTACAGGTCTTTTACCTCCTTGAGCAAATTTGTCTAGGTATTAATTTACCCTTTTTAATGTGAGTGTAAATGAGATTGTTTTCTTAGTTTTTTCTCTCTGATAGTTATTGGTGTAAAAAAGTGCAACCAATTTCTACTATTAATTTTGTATCCTGCTACTTTACTGAATTCATTTATTAGTTTAATAGCTTTTTGGTGGAATTTTTAGGGTTCTTTATATATAGTATCATATCATCTGCAAATAATGACAGTTTTACTTTTCCCTTTCTGATTTGGGTGCCTTTTATTTCTTTTTTTTGTCTGATTGCTGAGGCTCTGGTGTCAATCTTAGTTGTGACAAGTGTATCCTGGGTGTTTAAGTTGTTGACATTAGTGGAAACTGGTACTATTTGCATACTATCTTTGTACCTTCTTACTAAATCTAAAATTATTCCAAAATAAAAACTTTACTTAAAAAATATGTTCACTGTTTCAAATATGCTGTAACTATAGAATGATGTAATCATTTTGTGACATGACTCATAATAATATAGAATAAAAAGGCAAGTACTTCTTAACACTTAGGCAAATCGAAATACATTTTGTGGACTCTCTCACTTTAAAGTGTGTCCTCATAAAGTTTCAGATTGTGAACCTCTGCTGCATGTTTATGGATGCAGTTTAAACTTGATGGTGTTTGAACTGCGGTGATGACCCAGATACTCTTAACCTTCTCAGTTTCCTAGGAGAGCAAAGAATGGTAGGACTTGATCAAAGATAAACTGGCACAGATATGTTTTATCCACATTGCCTGTAGGAGTAACCTGTTTATTCTGCTCTCCCGCCTTGCCTGTCAGACTCCTGTGGTCTCCATCAGCACCTTTGTTTCTGCCACACTTGCCTTTCACCTTGTTTCCTGGGCTTCAGTTACACTCTCTGTCATTAACTCCCTAATTTATACCTCTAATCTGAAACTACAAAGCCGTACTTCTACTTCTAACTGAAGGCCAGAGGATTTCATTTCAGCACCT